AGATAAAATAAGAAAAAATAAGATTTCTAATTTCATCCAAATACCGTTCAACCAAAAGAAATGGAATACCTTACGAACTTTCATAATAGGATAGCATGAAAAGTTTGTCTTATTTGTCTTCAACTATATCTTATAATTCTGTTCCCTCTTCTCCACCATTGTTAATCTAATCCATAAACAAATAATCCTCTTCCGTTCCATTTAGATGGTTAGATATACATTTTTAAATGACTTCAATTATGCCAGAATTAGTTACCTTTCATTTTTTTTTATTTTCCCTTCAGCTTCAGGCATTATTTGTAAACTGGCATATCGTATTTGGCCTCAAATTGTAATTGTTTTTTTTCACGTTCTAAGATTCGCATACTTTCTAACACCTCTTTTCTTGCTCTTTAAGGTTTTAGTTTTAAAAGTAGTTAATGCTCAAAAGGTTGGTATATTACATCGAATAGTTTCAAAAGATAAGAGCACTGCACATGATCGTTTCATATGCCATCGTGAGAAAAGGTGCACTCCTTATACGGCGAAAATACATAAAAATAAAAAAGCAGTTTAAAAGTATTGGTGATCGTAACACGCCAGAATATGATTTAATTAATTTTAACAACACATTTAAGTAAAAAAAAAATAGATTGACTGATTTTTTTTAAATATAGGATCTAGTTACAGCAGCTATACATTTAGAGTTAGTTATATTTGATTATTAATATACTTTGACAAAAAAAGCCCCTAAAATTATATAATGTAATAATTTCCATGTAATGGCCTTTATAATGATTATATATAATGATTATTGTGTGTGTTAATTCAGCAGTTTTGTTTGTTTCCAAATAGAATAATATTTCGAAAAAAGTCAGCTTTTTTTCATTTACTGAAAATTACTATTACATGAAAATGTACCATTTTTCCTCTTATTTCCATTGAGAAAATTTTTATTTTAGTATGTTTCGGATTTGAAAGAATACTTGTAAAGTATTCTTTTCGGGTTTTTCTACTTATCTTAAAGGGAAAATACTTTGCATGCGCTATTTGATTTGCGAACCTCTTTTTACAAAGGAACTGCGATGCATACAAATAGAATTACAATTTAAAGTTAAGTGAATCGAGTTCGAAGAGAAAAAGAGCAGTGAAGCTTGTTGATGTTAGTTGAGTGATATCTATGAGATTTACATTCTGAATTGTCGTCTTATGTGGGCGTGGGAGTTGAAGACTTGTTATCCTCCCCAAGTCTGGAAAATATATCCTTGCTTCTAAATTTCTTCATATGGGCTTGTAATTTATGTTTAATATTGATTAAGCCTAATTCGCTCCGAACAGCTACTTGAAACCGTATTATATTAGGAATTAAAAAGAGTAAAACAATTTTTTGTGATTTAGATATGTCTCTTCCTTCAGTAGCCTGTCACACTAACGTGAAAGGAAATTCTCCGCATCATGTTTCAAATTCCTCGATATTTATAATATTGAATCTAATTATCAATTCCTATAGAAAAGAAAAATAAAGAGATACTAACTCTTTTTCAGCAATGGCTTCAGATATATTTCCCAACTGATATCCCTATTTTAAAATCAGTTGAAAAACTTTAAAAAAAATCATGAATAACAAACCTTTTTTCTTTAATGCAGCTTTTTCTAAATTTGTTTCTATATACAGGGATATTCATATAAATATTATATGATTACAATGTCCATTAATTTTAAAATACCTCTGAATTCATTTACGGTTCCAAAATCTATTTTTCTTTACAAAAAAAGATTAAATTAGCAGAAAAGACTGATTAATTTTTTAAGATATCTCTTAAAGTTATTTTTATAAAAACTACGTAAAGCGAATTTATTTTTTTCGTTTTATTGTATATCCTATATTCTTCTACTAAATTATTAAAATTCTACCAGTATTAAATGAAGTTATAGTAAATTTAATTTTATAGTCATCAGTAGTTTCCTATACATAAAAGGATAACAATTTAGAAAGCAGAAAGTTATCATAAATATAAAAAATAAATTATAATAATTTCTTTAAAAATAATACAACAAAGAATTCTATCTATTTCTTATTATATTAATTTTTTTCCTTTCATGAAAAAAATCATTTAATATTTTCCTTACAATATATTTTTGAATTTATATTTTTCAGTTCCTAAAGTTATACTGAATCTGATCCAATAAAATAATAAGAAGTGTAGTCATTTGTGGAAAACTGTTTTGATATGAATACCGATGATAAAGAAAAATATTGTTCGAAAATGTTTTGAACAATGAAAATTATTTAAAGCTATTCATGAATTTATTCTAACTTAGATTAAATATTCTGATTTCTCAAGCCATTTTGCAATGTAATAACGTTTTATTAAAGTTCAAAACTTTTTTAAAAAATGGCGGATTTCTGGAATTTTTTAACTACCTCATAGCATTTGTCCACAAAAAAATTCTAATAAAATAATAAAAACTTGTTTATGCCTAAATATCTATAAGAAAGCATGTTTTAATCTTTCAAATTTCAGGAAAACAAAAAACTGTATTTATAAAATTTTTTTTCAGAAGCAAGAAATCCGAGGTAATGTTGTTTACTTTAATTGTCAATAATAATAACTACCTTTATTTATTGTCTTTTTTACCAGACAAAAACAATTTAAAAATAATGAAAAAAAATCTATTTTTTTTTTCGAAAATCTATATCGAACCACCTAGTTAAATGCCCAGCTGCTCCTGGTATTTTAACAAAGAACCGGTACATTAACCATCAAGAAGCATTGCAGTATAGATCCAAAGAAAAATAATTTAATATAGCTATCTCAGAAGGGTTCTTAAGGTTAAAAAAAGTTTCATCTCGGTTCTAAAGACTAAGTTTTTCTTCTCTTCCCCCCATCCCTGGACAAGCCCTTACTCTTCCAAGCGTGATATTAGACAAGACCCGCATGTGCTTGCTTACAGAAGCGTTTATACTTTATTGACGGTAAGTTCTTCTTTCCTAAATCGTGGACACAAGCCCTTACGAGTGTACACGATATTATCGAAGAGTGGGCAATTTAGACACTATTTTTTCCATTCATCTACAAGGGTGGCGGGCTCTTCAGAAATGTGAGGGAGGAAATAAAATGAAAAAGAGTCATTACTGGTGCGATATTGACATCGTTAGTCAGTTAGAATCGGCTTGGAAAGGCCTAAATTTTTCTGAACGAAAACGAATCATTTTTATCCAACGCTTTAAGAAGTGAGGTTTTTTTTTCTCCTTCTATCATTTTTTCTCTATGATTTCCTTTTAATTCACTGAGTAATGTATGTTTTCTTATAACTTCTGTTGGATAATGCTGTTTTTGGTTTTACAGATACATGCATAGAATCTGAGCGAATTGAAAACTTCCTTCCTACCAATAACATGTTATTCGATAAGCTAGTATTATATCTCAAACGTAAGGTAATAAATTTTGTTATTAAAAAATAGTTTGTTTTAATTGAGCTAAATTTTGAGTACCTTAAAATCCGTCATATAACGCGCACTTTTAACACAAAAAACAAGACCGAAATTTAAGGTGTACGTTATACGCCGGGTATCAAAATGATAGCTTTAAAATTAAACAAGAGATGTGCATAAAAAAATTAGGCTTCCAAATGTATGGAAATACTGTTATTTAACAGAAACGGAATTCTTTATGAACTTAGAGGGTTGTATAGTTATAGAAATATACTATACATTTCTTCAAAATCTTGCTATAATACCTCAAATAAATTACTTCAAAACGTAAGAACATTGTTCACTTACATTTCAGGTTTCTTCGTTTCTTCATTCAGTAAAAAAGGGGGTGGGCGTTATACGGCGAATATATCTTAAAATTAAAAAAAATGCATCTTGAAAGTATAGGTGAGCGTTATACGCCAGATTTTACGGTAACTATAATGCGATGAATAAATTAAAATAATGTTTCAAACGTATTAAAATTCTGATACATTTTCAGAAAATTTTAAATTAGTTTTATTAAATTAGAGCTCCACGAGAGAAATATAATTTTTTTAAATCGCATATTGATTTAGTTTCTAGTGAATTGATCAGAGTTACATTTAACCCATTATTTTATAATCTGAATGTCTAAGTTATGCCATACAAATTCTGCTTTATCGCACAGAAGTTTGAGATCATCTGCAGGATAAAACAGAATTAATTTTTCATTAACCTTTACATACATTAGGCAATGCATACTTCAGTTTTTGAAAAATTATTTCCAAACTCAAAAGGAATTATATGACTAACTCTCTTAATTCCATTTTAACTTCTTTTTGGTTATTCCGCTATTCATCTGAAGGGCAATTGAACAAACCTTTGCACTCATTCTATTAACACTCAATACAGTCTGGATTTCTTCGTATTACAGAAAGTTCACTTGTAAAATAAACATGAAACAAAATTATCCTATTTGTTTACATTGTATTTTTCTAGAAAAATGATGAACATGATTTGTTGCAATGAAGATTTCGTATAAGTCAAAAGTTTGCTTTCTTTTTTAAAATCAAATCTTCTCTTTTCTTTATTTCAGAAGTTTCATTGATTTGTATAAAGTTTATTATTTCATTAGTTAAAAAGAGGTTAAACTCAGATAACTATGTTTTCGTCTCATTGTTTACTAAACATGCAATTAAAGCTAATAATTTATGTATTTCAAAATATTATGAAAGTAGAATGTATATGACTCGAAAATTAATTTGTGCATAAAATGTGCCGTTTGTGCGTAACATTTTTACGTAACACTACCGTGACATTTTTCAATTCCTACTATTAGTTCATATTCTCCCTATATATATATCTTGTTCAAAATTTCAATCGTTAATAAAATACGTTTTATTCATTAACTCAAGTTCAGATACATTTTTTAAAAAATTGTAGTGGTTGTCACTTGACAGTTTGTTCAAATATTAATAAATTAAACAAATTTAATTAAGGAATAAATAGTAACAAAAAATAGTCCAACATCATATATAAAAAGAAAAATTTCTGGCTGTGTCCCTATAGCACAATGGATAGCGCATTGGACTTCTAATCGAAATGTCGTGGGTTCGAAACCTATCTAATTTCTAAGAATGTGATTTATGAATGAATAAATAGTACCGAACAAAAATAATACTCCAACACCTTATATAGAAAGGAAAATCGCTTTCTATTTTGTCACATAACATTGTGATTCGGTCATTAATTTTTTCATAAAAATAACTAAAATAATTTTTTTTTTGTTGATCTAAGTAGAATCGACTTTAATTTTTTTATATTATTTATTTTTACTGATGTAGCAAAGGGACAGACACAAACCACAGACTAGTTCTTGATGAGATAAAGAAAAAGTCCATGACCGATGAGTAAGGTTAATTCCTTGGTTTTGTCGATAGAGTTTCTTCTAAAATATACACATTTGAATTTTAATCATTTATGAGGAAGAAATTAATATAAGAATCTACTTGCAGTAGAATTTTAAATCTTAAAATAACTCTTTTAGTAATATGACTTTTCAGAAAGAATTACTATGCGTGAGAAGTAGTTCGAGTGATAAAATTATTTCCGAAATGATTATGACTGTGGATGCACGGAAAAAAAACTGTAACAGATATTCAATAATAATTCTTCTTGTAAAATATCGAGAAGTTTTCATCAATACTATACTTCATTTTCTTATCATTATTCTCGTTAGTTGTTTTTTGCAATACTTATTTTTTTGAGATTTCGTTGTTTTTTTTAATATTTTATTTTGAAAAAAAAGTAAATATTCTTGTAGTTAATTGTTATTATGTTAAAAAAAACAATACACATTCATTACTTATTTTAAAGAAAATGTATATAGATATATTTTTTAAAATTTTAGAATTTTTTAAGTTATTATCTAACATGCTAATTTACGAGATGACGGAAGTGAAGGAAACTTACTTAAACAAGACATATTTGGAAGTGAATTTTTGTTTTTTCTAACAAACATTCTAATATTTTCAAATGTAAAATCAGTAATACTCTGATTCACGTACTCATGAAATTGTACAAAATATTTTTAGATTTGAGCTTGTGACATATAAAAGATCAAAAATGCAAAATTACAAGCACCAGAGTTTCATGTTTTATGAAACTTGACACAACATATCTCTATCAAATTTAGAATCAATATTTAGCAGGCATTCTTGAACGAAATTGGAAATGTTAAACTTTATTTGACGTAAGATTTTAGTTTACTGTCCTCTTACAAGAGATTGATATCGAAAAATATTACACATGCACATTTACACGAACAAGGACACACATGTACATATATATAACATTAATAATATATTTTATAAGAAGTTCAAGCTGAACTTAAAGTTAAATTTAATTCATTCTCAAATATTAATAGAGGGAATGGCGTATTTGATGTTTCAAAGTTAATGTAATATAAATTGCACTTAAAATTATACTTTTGAACTCTGAGAAGTCTTAAATTTCCAGAGTATCGTAAAATCCTTAAATTCCACGTACATTTCTCGCAAAAAAATACAGAAGCAAGCAAGAAAGCCATGAGAACCATAACAACCATTTTATAGACATTTAGTTATATATACATGGAAAAATGCGTCGAATGGAAGATATACATGCATTCAAACATAAGAGAAGAAAAAGTCACAAAAAAAACCCTAGAGGAAACTTAATTCTGAGTCGAATGCTTGAACATTTATAGATGGTTCACGACAACAGTTCAATTACATGTAAATGACAAAAAAGTATTGCTTTAAAGAATATGGATTGTGTTTAATACCGTGATTTGGTCCTCTGAACATATAAATCCCCTGCAAATTTGTCTTCCTTGAATGGGCTTGGCAAATCGACAAGACTAAGGGAATACTATATGTTCTACTCTTTAAGAAGTACAATCCGGACAGTAAACGGAAACACGGAGCCCTCTACAATGTGTCGTCTTACTGTGTCCCAAATGTATTCGCTCGGATTTAGGTCCGAAGAGCTTGTTAGCCTCTCCGTGTGCAGTATTGTTTCGGATTCAAGCGTGTCCTCCTTACTTTAAATGAAAGAAACCACGAATAACTAAAGCGTAAGTGAAGTCTATATGCTTTAGATTAACATATCATAATATACTATAAGTCCGTATGCCTACCCATCCTGACTGGAGACGATATCAACAACCTACCTCGTCTGTACTATGATTTTTCTCGAAAGAATGTTAAGTTATTTCGAGTAGGGGAGACCGGGGCAAGATGACGAATGTCTTAATTTTTCCATGTTCCACTAGGTAGCAGCATCAAATGAACACTACTGGCTCTCCTTTTGGCCTTTCGTTAAACAATAGTATAGACAAGCTGAAATTGCCCTTTTTGTGTTAGTTGTGAAGCTTTGATTGTTTTTTGCTGTCACGATATAACTTTTATGCATGTGTAAATAAGCTCTGCTACAGATACAGGTAAGATATAACGTTTCTCTTTAATATTTATGAGTAAATTGGTTTAAATACTACCTGTTACCATGAATAAATGCCAATTAATTGCCTTCTTTCATGGTAATGAGAACGAATATTGTTTAAACAGACAGTCTGGAGGACAAGATGACGAGCTCGTCATCTTGCCCCATTTTTCGCAATTTATTAAACTAAACTATTGTTGTCCATTCTATTAAATCCTGTTAACACTTCTTTGTCTGTGTGTATGTCCGCGCGACCTTGCGCTTCCATCTCTTCTGGGGCTAAGGGGTGCATCGGATAGGGAAAGGTTTCATTCGAAAGGGGGTGACTAGAGGAAGACATTTTTGCCATCCACTAACCCCCTCCCTAAAGAGGAAGGAATGTAACAATAATTTGTTGCTTTAGAGCTAGTGGCTTTTATCTGCCACCTTTTCTGATTTTTTGCGCGAAAACGAAAGCTTCCTGAACTTGTAGAAAGAGCCCCACCAGGAACTGTAAGTAACTGTAGTGATAAGGGCTGGAACAATAAGGGCACCTTTTTCTCCTTTTTGAAGCACTTTTATCTTCATGTGAAACCAAGCAAAGAATCTACTAATCTGTTGATTTTTGACAATCACAAAACTCATATAACTTTGCAGGCTATCTTATATTGCAGAGCGAAAAACTTCATCATGGTTGGGTTGCCGTCGCACACATCACATCGTCTCTAGCCCCTTGTTGTGTCATTTTTTTGATCAGTTAAAAACGCACTATAGCCAAGCATATGACAACTCTATGGTCACTCATCCAGAACAAACTATCACAGACAAAAATATTGGTGAGATTTTGAGCATCAATTACTTCAAATCAGCTACAGTTGGAAATGCCGTTGAAAGGGTTTAAAAATATGGGATCAAGCCTCATAATCCTCTTGTGTTTAGCGAACATGACTATGTTGCGGTAAAAACTACTAATCATGCTGCTGTTGGCGATGAAACTGAGAATAATAGTGCTAATCCTCAGACCCCGGTAATATAAAACCAATATATAAACCCTACAGAAAAAACAGAACTTATGGAAAATGCTGATTCCGATGCACCAAAGAAGCCTGTTAGTGTTTTTTATTTCAAATCATTGCTTAAACAACATAATGTGAGAAAAAAGAAGCAAAAAACTAAGCTCTAGCATTCTTACAAGCACACCCATCAGAGGAATGTTAGAACAAAGAGAAAAGCAGAAGGAAGAACAGAAAGTTTTAAAAAAAGAGAGAAAAGAAGCTCTTGGAGCTGAAAAGGGAGTAAAAAAAACTCAAACCAAGTTTCTGTAGGCCTAAATCTATAAAATCCAGGCCAAAAATTCCAGTTGCATCAACTTCAGAGGACGGTGTTATAAGATGCCCTGCTTATGAAGAGAAACCCTCCAACAGAAGAATGGATCCGGTGCTGTAAATGCCAATAGTGTTGGCATGAGGAATGTTCCAATTATGAAAATGGCATTTTTGTTTGTGACTATTGTTAGGTGCACAACTAAACACTTCAATAATATATTATAATGCATTACGCTTTGTTTGATACTTTGAAAGATGTAAAAACACAGTTATCATTTGTTAAACCATGTAACACATTCAAAAGATAAAATATGTTCAACCTTTTTCAGTGTCGCCATCTTGCCCCAAGCAAAAGTCATCTTGCCCCAGTATTGGGGCAAGATGACGATTTGTTAAGGTTATGAAAAAATTAAGTAATCCTTGACTTCTTTTATTGGAAAAATTAAATGATAATGTATTTTAATACTACAAAGGACTACTCTAACAGTTCATGAAAAAGTGATTTTACTACCCTTAAAAATAAATTAATAAACAACAAAAAACTGTTAACGTCGTCATCTTGCCCGGTCTCCCCTATATCTTTCAAATCATACCAGGACACTTCAGGTGTCATTCTCCAATCTGAATTGGTACGCATCAGTAAACAGCACCATACTGCAATCCCGTTGTGTTTATTCTCGATGTTCAGTTGCCTTTTTTCTTGTGACCGCACGCACGGGGCCTTTAGGTCCATGGAGAACACAGCACTGGCCTACGTGCATAAAAACTCCCTGGAAGACTATTTTAGATTGTTTGGCTCTACATCATCCGTGGTAATGCCAAAGAAGCTACTGACTTCGTCTTCTTTTTCTCAACGATCTGTTAACGAGACGTACATGTCATCATTTGTTGTACTATCACATGAAGGGCTTTGCTTTGCTCGACATTTATCATTCCGAAATTCTTGGAATTGTTCTTTCAACGTTGAAATAATTCTTCTTGTCACTCCAACAGAGTTCATTACACTTCATTGTTTTCGCCACACATAAGCTATGGATTGCGGTATATTACATTGTTCTAAAATCTGATTTTCTCAAAACAAGAGCATGTTACAACTGATAGAGTGAAAATAAACATTTCAGAAAATCGTAATTTCCCCACGTATGCTCTTTTTGACGCAAAAAGAGTTGATTTGCGAATGAAGTTTTCTTTTCCTGCTTTGTGTCACACTTCAGATATGAATCTTCTGTTTTACGTTAGTTACCAGTACAAATATTTGAATAACTTTGATAAAAAACACACCATACGCTGTCCTAATTTTTTAATTAGTGTTCATTCCTCCTTATAAAAAATCAAGAAAATAA